TTTCACCCCTGGAGTAGGTCCATGACTCTTAAGAGGCTCATCACTGCTTCAGTCACTAATTTAGTCTGCCCAGATTCCTGACTTTGAATTAATACAGGCTTGGCAGGTTTCAATTTTAGAAATTAAAGGACTGCAATGTCATGAAAGGGAGGGATCCAGAGTTTGCCATTTTCACACGGGGATCAACAAAATACAGAAGATACAGAGAGCCTTATAGCTTCTCCAGGGATTGAAAGGACCAAATGTGTTTAGTAACCTCTAATAATACGTTGCTTATATATATAATTACCCAGAATTCTCTGAAATCTGGTTTACTGCAGCAAAAGAATTAATTAATGTATTAATTTCAGGGTGTCTGGGTTTATAACTTTCAACAGAAAGATGTAAAAGATAAGTGCTGGTATTATTAAAAATAAATAGGATAAATTCTTCTCTTTCCTCTGATATAATACTTTTGAAGAATGTTATCCTTTAATTCCTGTTAGGAACTTTTAAATAGTACATAACAAATATATAATTGATTGATTTGCATTCATTGCATGGTTTTTAATTTCTTTAAAATGGATAAAATGATACTCAATGCTTGAAACTGGACAGAGATTGAATCTATTCAGCTGTGGTTTGTTAGACTTGTATTCTATTTCTTAATATTTACATTATGGAGTTGCAAAGTTCCGATGAGGTGACACTTTCTTGACTAGGTTGTGCTAAACTTCAAGCAAAGGTGATGGCTTGGGCTCCCCAGCAGCTGTTTATTACTAGGCTTACTGTGAGGGTCTTAGGGTTAAATGATAGCACAGAACAACCTACTTTCTAATAAACAATTTGGTTTCAGAAAAAAACTATCCTGCAATCTGCAACTCTTACACTGCAAAAACATATGGACTACACAACTCGATCAGGGCAAAGCAATAGACGCAATCTACATAGACTTCTGTAAAGCCTTTGATTCAGTGGTACATGACAAACTATTCCTAAAACTAAAATCTTATGGTATCTTTGGATACCTGCATAGCTGGTTAGAAGCATTCCTGTCAAGCAGACAACAAATGGTCAAAATTGGGAGCCTCCTATCAAATTCTGTACCTGTCAACAGTGGTGTCCCCCAAGGCAGTGTTTTAGGACCAACTCTCTTCATACTCTACATAAATGACCTCTGTGATCATATTAAGAGCAACTGCGTTCTCTTCACTGACAGTGTAAAGCTATTCAACACCACCGACAATACTGCTACCCTTCAAAAAGACCTTGACTGTGTATCAGAATGGTCAATCAAATGGCAACTTCAAATCTCAAAAATAAATGCTCTGTCCTACATATTGGCAAAAAAAATAAGAAAATAAAATACAGGCTGAATAGTCAAGACCTTGTTGATGATCCAAACTCTGACAAGGATCTTGGAGCACTCATCTCTAATGATCTAAGTTCTAGAGCCTACTGTAACTACATAGCCAAAAAGGCATTAAGAGTTGTTAATCTCATCCTACGTAGCTTCTTCTCTGATAATATCACATTATTAACTAGAGCATACAAAACATTTGCTAGACCTATGCTTGAATACAACTCATCAGTCTGGAACCCATACCATGTATCTGATATTAACATAATTGAAAAACTCCATTAATATTTCACAAGAAGAGTTGTCCGCTCCTCTACTCATTGCAGAATACCATATGCCACCAGACTTGAAACCCTAGACCTAGAAAACCTAGAACTACGCTGCCTCCGGTCCGATCTAAATATAGTATATAAAATCATACATTGCAATCTCCTACCTGTCAATGAGTACTTCAGCTTCAATCATATCAATACAAGAGCACACAATAGATACAAACTCAAGGTTAACCACACCAAACTTGACTGCAGAAAATACGACTTCAGCAACTGAGTGGTCAATGTCTGGAATACTCTACCTGACTCTGTGGTTTCTTCCCCAAACCCCAAAAACTTTAACCTTAGACTTACTATTGACTTCACCCCCTTCCTAAGAGGCCTGTAGGAGGTGTGCATAAGTGCACCAATCGTGCCTACCGTCCCTGTCCTATTGTTTTTTATTTTTCTCATAAGTATCTATCTCATGCATTCAAAACTATATTTATTCTTATACCTCTATCTTGTAAGCGATTGACAAATCAAATCAAATGTAAATGTAGAATAAGAAACTGTAGATAAAAGGATGGAACAAATATGATGCTTTTATCAAGAGCCTAGATCAGGGAATGGATCAGCCAGCGGGGTGTATAGATCTGGCCCACAGAGCCACCTTGGGAACAGCAAAGGACCGGGCCGAGGTGCCTCAGAGGAAAGAGCTTGGGAGCTCAGTTTTCAGCTGCGACAGCCTCCTGCAAGCAGAAATGGTGCTCGGGAGGGCTGTGAGCTCCGTTTTCGCTGGCAGAGCACTTGGGCCACCACAGGCATCCCCAACACAAGTGACGTTGAGCTGGACATGCCTATCCTGGCCACACACACACACACACACGCACACACACATACCTCGCCCTCCTGAGGTGAAACACAGCCCTGACATGGCCTTCAATGAAATTGAGTTTGACACCCCTGGCCTAGATTGTCTTGCTTATTTAGCTTCTGGATGTCTGGAAATCTTGAAGATGGATCGGAACAAACCAACTTAATGGTAGTAAACTAATCTCTGAGTGAAGCCACCATGAAGGTCTGGGAGTCTGCTAATATAGTCACCCCAATATCACATTTTTAAAAAAAGTTTTATTTAAAGAATTTATAATAGAAAAACTCTAGGAAGAAAACAATGAAAAATAAAAACAGTATGATGCAGTTGAATTGTATAGGAAAATTCTTCCATAATGCATCATAAAGTATCTCAACATCGCTCCAATAACATCCTAGCCCTAAAGCTTGAGGAGAAGAAGACAGGCCTTCAGTGCCTTCCAAAAGCTGAGAGGGTTGTGGCCATTCAGATCTCAGGCTGTTCTAAAAGACGGGTGCCATAGCAACGAAGGTCCACCTCCGGGATCCCATTAGATGACCCTGTTTCACAGGAGGAAGACAGAACAGAATGGCTCCTCTGCCAGATCTGGTAAGATGAGGGGAAACAACCAGAGATAGATGGCCTCACAGGAAGCGTGGATGTTACCATGCAGCGTCTTGTAGACATCACCCAAAACCTGATATGGCATCCAGAGATCTACTGGGAGTTAATGCAATTGCAACAGCACTTAGACTTATAGACCACTTCACAGTGCTTCACAGCCCTCTGTAAGCGGTTTACAGAGTCAGCTTCTTGGCCCCAACAATCTGGGTCCTCATTTGACTTACCTCGGAAGGATGGAAGGCCAAGTCAACCTTGAGCCTGGTGAGATTTGAACTGCCAAATTGCAGGCAGCTGGCAGGAAGCAGAAGTAGCCTGCAGTACTGGACTCTTAACTACTGCACCACCACAGCTCAATGATATTAATGCTTCCATGTTCTCTTCAAGACAACTCTTACGTTGAGCACATTGCATCGTCCAACTGGGAGATAATGCATGAGTAAATGCAAGTACAGGTGGTCCTTGGTTAAGGACCACTCGCTCAGTGACCATTCACTCAAGATGGCGTTAAATGAATGGTACTTAGTATCAGTTCTTGTGGTGGCAGCACCCACATGGTTGTGTGCTTGGAGCCTGAGTGCTTGGCAACCGGCCCAGATTTCCAGCCCCCATGGTCATGGGTTCATCATTTGTCACTTTCCGTGCTGATTTTCCACAAGCAAAGTCAGTGGGGAAGCCGGCAGGTAGTCGGAGTTGTAGTCACATGAGGTCCTGGCTTAATGACCTGCAGTGATTTGTTTAGCAATGGTAACCAGGATCTGCCAGAACTTCTATCAGTAATTGTAATGCTTTCCACCCCATCGCTTAGCAATGGAAATTCTGGTCCCAGGTATCATTTTTAAGTACGAGTCATCCAGTCCAGGAATGGGCACAATTGGTACAGCAGGATGTTTTTCTGTAAGGGCCATCCTGCCCATAACAGCCACATGGCTCCTGAAATAGGAATTCTGAGTCCAAGAGGAGCCCCAGTTGTGCACCGATTCTGCTTGCAGGAGTAGCACCTCCTCCGGAATCAGAAACAGGAAATATCCAGATTCTACAACTGCAAGTAATCCTCGACTTACAACAGTTTGTCGAGTGGCTGTTTGAAGTTACAACAACACTGAAAGGACCGTTTTTTACACTTAACGACTGTTGCAGCGCCCCCATCGTCACATCACAATTCAGATCCTTTGGCAACTGACTCCTATTTGTGACGTTCTGCAGTGTCCCGGCATCACGTGACCCGTTTTGGCGACCTCCTTGACAGTCCAAATCAACGCAGGAACCAGATTTACTTAACAACTGGGTTACTAGCTTAACCACTGCAGCAATTCCCTTAACAAGTATGCCATGAAATGTCACAAATGAGGCAAAACCCCACTTAACAGACGTTTTCCCTTACAACATAAATTTTGGACTCAACAGTGGTCTTTGTAGGGTTGAGTCCTTCTGTGATGACCTGGGACATGGCACAAAGGCAACACAGTCAGATAATGAGTAAGAGTCCCTTTATTAGCTCCAACTTTGCCTCCAATGTCCAGGTAACCTTCTGGCCGGAGAAAAACTCCCAGGAACAGCCTTTGGCTGCAGAGAATTAAGTCCAAAACGTGGTAAAAAAAACCTGTAACTCTGTAAGTCCAAACAAGCCAAACTGAAGTAATTAGTTTGGTAGGGCAGGAGCAAGAATTTCAGAAACTTACACGGTTGGGAAGAAGCCAGGAACACAGATAAGCCACAACGATACAAGATAAAGTCACATTTGCTCCCAACAGCCTGCCACACGCAGCCTGCCTTTTTTATCAACTGTCTTCTCAGCTGTGGCTAATGAAGGGAATCGGGGCCTTTTCCTCCCCATAAGCCACACACCCCACATTGCTCCCTTCTCCGTTCCTTCCTGCGTGCCCTAGGATGAAGAGGGGGTGGGCATGAGTCTTCCTCTGAACTCCCTCTCCCTTGTTTTACCTCTTCCCTGCTCTGCCCAACCAGACTTTGCCCTTCCCCAGTTTCCTCCACAGCCAACGTAGCCACACTCCCATTCCCTGTCAGCTGTTCAACTTCCTCCTTGGATTCAGGCTCCGACGGGCATGACACCTTCCTTCTTAGTTCATCCTTCATCCAAGGACCACCTCAGCAGAACTACTTGGAAAGGCCAGAGCAGATACGTCCAGCTGTTACTCAGCATGCAGCTGATCTTTTCCTCCCGTGCCAATGAATGACCTCACCCAGCAGCTTCGTGTAGATGTTAAATAGGAGTGGGGAGAAAGTAGAGTCCTGAGGCAGACTGCAGTGGAGTCTGGAGCTGGAGCCCTCTCTCCTCCTCCTCTCCTCTCCTCTCCTCTCCTCTCCTCTCCTCTCCTCTCCTCTCCTCTCCTCTCCTC